TTCGGCTCAGGGGGCATGTTTCCCATGGTGAACCCATCCTGCTGCCCACACCAGGGTCCTGGGTGCCCCTGCCCTGGGATAGGCCATGCAGGATGCAGGGTGAGGGGCTGGCAGCTTCCCAGCTCCATGGGCACCCCCAGGCAGGGCCGTGGGCAGGGGCTGCCGGACCCACTGCCATCGCCAAGAGACCCCCAAGCTGTCCCATGTGCAACCCCGAGCAGTGTGGGCACAGGGCACACTCCAGCCCTCGGGGCTCTTTCGGTTTCTGCTGCTCCATTTTTAATTGCTCCTCCTGCTCCCAGCCCCCGCCTTGCTGGCCAGACTCTGCAGCCTCCCCGGCTCTCCCTGTGGGACCCCCAGCCCCGGTCCTTGGCAGAGCTGCCCCCGGCTGGGATCCTCCAGACGGAGCTGAGCTGTGTCCCTGCGCTGCTCCCCGGGACCGGAGCCAGGGGGCTGGCACGGCACTGGACCCCCCCAGGGGACCCCGCGGAGGCACCGGGGCTGGGAGCTCCTGCGGCATCCAGGACCCTGGGGTCAAGGGCAGGAGCTGGGCTGGGACCCAGCTCAGCGCCTCCTGGCTCTGGGGCTGGGCTGGAAAGGGGCTGTACTGGGCTGCACTGGGCTGGCAATGGGCTGGGCTGGGCTGGAAATGGGCTGCACTGGGCCATGCTGGGCTGTGCTAGGCTGGAAATGGGTTGGGCTGGGCTGGAAATGGGCTGGAAATGGGCTGGGCTGGAACTGGGCTGTCCTGGGCTCTGCTGAGCCGTGCTGGGTTATACTGGGCTATTCTGGGCTAGACCTGGGCCATGCTGGTCTGTGCTGGGTTATACTGGGCGGTACTGGGCTGAAGTTGTGCTGGGAGGTGGGGCTGAGCCTCCTCGTCCCCAGCGGGGCCGTGGGGCTGTCTGGGGGCTGTGGGGCTGTCTGGGGGGTGTATGGCGCCGGGGGTCTGTCCTGGGGTCGGGGGGTCTGTCCTGGAGCTGTGGGTCTGTCCGGGGCTGTGGGTCTGTCCCGGGGCGGTGCCAGCCCTGCCCATGGGTCTGAGCATGTCGGCACTGAGCAGCCGCGGGGGCCGTGTCCCTGTAGGGTGATGGGGCCACGAGTGGCCCCCTCACAGCAGCCACCCCACAGCCGCCTCCCCAGCCAC